TCCACTTCATTAAAATTTAAAAATAAGTAATTTTAAGTCGTAATTATCGAAAAAATAATATTACGAAATATTAAAACAATTTACAAAAATATCTATAATTAAATAAAAAAATATGCATTTAATGTTTTCACCCTTATTTATGTCTTTATTAGAACTTCAATTTATCAAGACAATTTAGATATTTTATCAAAATGAGCTACAAAATTAAGTTTGTTGAATAATTCGTTGTTTGGAAGTATCTTAGATGTTAGACAATAACAGCTTTAATGTCTGTTTTCTATATATGTTGTTTGGAAATATCTTTCAACAACTTTTAGAAGTATTTCAAGTTTTACTCATAATCACTAATAACTTTCACTTCTTTACGCGTAGTTAATAACGAATAAACGACAAACATCCAATCATATAGATTTATGTTTACCATCGTGCAATAGATTTATCGTTTACTATCGCGCAATAGCTTGAAACCACACAAGATCAGGTATATAACATATTAAACACAAGTGTTGCGCGACAAAATCGAGCTAAAAGATATCGCCAAACGATTCAAACTTTGGTTATTCAACTTTCCGATGATAAGATTAAGTCATGTAGATGCTTATATGTTTTCTTGTTAAATAAATATAAAAAAAAATAACATTTTTCAATGACAGTTAGGTATTTGTTTTTTATCCACGTGTTTTTAAAACTGTTTGAATATTTTTGTGAATAATAGAATATTAAGGTCCACAAGGAGACGGACTTGACTTGGGTTGCCCATTATGTAGTCAGTTAGTCACTATTTCCTACGATCTGTTTTTCTTGTGTCTTTTTCTATTAAAATATCTTTCTTTCTTTTTTTCTAATTAAAAACGTTGTAAAATTGATGGGTTTTTTGTTTGTTCAATATTCAATAAATAAGTTAAAACATTGTCGGGTTCCTTTTGAGAATGAAAAAGTTGAATGAGAATGAAAAAGTTGATAAATTACAACCAACCCTGAAGTATAGGGTAAATTACAATCACCCCTGAAGTATAATCAAATTACGAAAAATTTCCTATTGTTTGGGTAATTACAACCACCCCTCAACTATAAAATTTAGTGGAATCTTCTAGATTATATGGAATATTATCACTTTTTTACCTGTTTTATCCCATTCGAACTCCACATTTTGAAGCACGATGATCATAATATGTATTTTTTGGCTTGTATATATCAGATTGTGATGCATCAGAAATTGTATTTTTACACAAAATGAATACAAACTAGAGCAAATTCCACGAAATCTAGATGATTGTGTTGAATTTGACACACCATAAGGGTGGAGGTGTAAGAAAAACTCATAGTTGAGAGGTAGATGTAATAATCCAAACAAGAGGGGGTTTTTCGTAAATTGACCATACCTCAAGGGTGGTTGTAATTTACCCTAAATATATATTACATATATATTATATAAGTTGATTTAGAAAAAAACTAAATAGAAAATAGTACGCAAATTAAATCAAAGATGCAATCTCCAACTATATTACCACGATAGAAACATACTATACCCGGAGGTTTGCCAACCAACTGAAATTATGTCGGCAAAACAATTGTAGCTGTGTCACGCTCGTCACACATGGTTAGCATGGTTAGCATAGTGTGTTTTACGTCTCACGTATAGTTTCAAGTTAGTATACGAGATTATATGTTTACCCAATGCACTTATATAGTTGGCTGCGAGTTTCATCATTAGAAAAAAAATACAACTCGAGTGAATTATGTTTAAATCTAACAAACATCAAAAAGTCACTAATCAATTGTCGTTTTTTCAACTTTGCACAAATATTAAGATTTTCAATAAACGAGTCTTGACTTTAAAAAAGAAGGCATATAATAACACGTAGATATGTGTATGTCTGCTGAATAGGTAGTAATTTGTATAAATTAAAAGCGCAGAATCACTCGACATTTTTTTTTACCGGACGTAGCATTTCATAGACCACACGAGAACGAATATTGCAAAAGAGGCCACGTAGACAAGGGTAACCTAAAACCACTTATATCCGTCAGTTGGCCCGGAAAGTACTGGAAAAAACAGTACGGGACTGTTCAAACACCGACCCGGTTCATTCTGGGTGGTCGTTACTCCAGTTGGCCCCTCAAAGTGCGTATTCAGGTGGCATCAACAAATATGTGAATTAACTACTAAATCTTTTAAATTTATATTTTATTATTTTTTATTATTTGATGAATACTATTTGCTAAATTGTCAAACGGCCCAATTCGACAAAACCATCTTTCTTAAGGGCCCGTTCTGTATTGGGCTACTATGTTAAATCCCGGCCCAATGGCATTCATGTAAATAATTGGTATTTATTTTTGGTTATAATTTCTATTCTCTTTATATAGTGTGTGTATTGTGTGTGAGCTGGCAGCTACAAGTCTACAACTAACTATCAACGTTAAGTAAATATGCACAACTTTTACCACTTTCTGTTAGAGCTCAACAAACAACGTGCATGTGATCATGTACGTGTTCGCTCGCCTTGCGATATTTTCACCCGCCTTTTGATACTCTAGATGTCAAGTGAGATTCTACGCGTCGAGAGAGTTTTTTCATGTGTCGAGTAAGTGTCCATGCATGTTGTGGTAATTCTCGTATCTAGTTATAAGAATCCACGCGCCGACCTACAATTAATGCAAGACAATGTTGCAGAGATCGACTAGATGACTCGTCAGGGTTTGCCCCGAGGATTATATTGCCCTCTAACGCTCAAGTCAACGATCGGCAGTGAATAGTGAAAAACTCTCACAAGGTAGAAGAATTACTTGAAAATCACTTACCATAAAACAAGGAATGAGCATTGAGCTCCATGCTTTTAGTGTTTTGTAGATGCTATATCGTATAAAATAATATGTTTGGAAGAATGAATTGTATTATATTTTCTACTATTACAAACCTCTATATATATGCAGAGGAGTTGACCAACTGTTACAACTAAAATAGGAAATTACAAGATTTAAGCCATAGACTTAATGGAGAATAATACACATTAATTACAAGATGATTTGTGGCCTTGCTGCTGATTCTTGGAGAGATTATCGGCTGATTGCAGCCTCATTTGGTGTAGATGTAACTGTAGGTTTATCATGCCCCCGCAAGATTGACTGTCCATTATGGACACCAATCTTGTTTCGATGATTGAGAAAGTGCGTATGAGCAAGAGGTTTTGTAAGAGAATCCGCAAGTTGATCAGATGTGTGTATATGAAAGACTCGAAGTCGGTTAGCAACAACTTGCTCTCTTACGAAATGGAAATCGATAGCAATGTGCTTCATGCGAGAATGGAAGATAGGATTCGTGCAAACATAAGTAGCACTCACATTGTCACAATAGATAACAGGTACATTAGGCACCGAAACTCTTAATTCTTGAAGCAAATTCATGATCCAATTTAGTTCGGCTGCAGAAGATGCAATGGCTCGATATTCAGCCTCCGTTGATGATCTAGCCACCGTTTTTTGCTTTTTAGAGCTCCAAGAAATGGGATTGGCACCAAGAAAAAGAACATATGCTGAAGTGGAAGTCCGGTCAGTCGGATCCCCTGCCCAATCTGCATCTGCATAAGCGTGAAGTGTTAGAGGCGAAATTTTCCGTAGGAGGAGCCCATGATCTATAGTGCCAGCAAGATAGCGAAGCAATCGTTTAACGGCCGCCCAATGAAGCAAGGAGGGACAATGCATCAACTGAGAGAGTTTATTGATTGCAAATGATAGGTCTGGACAAGTGAGAGTCAAGTATTGAAGAGACCCAAGAGTTTGCCGGTACAATGTTGCACCGGCAGATGTAGACCCATCATGAAGTTGAAGAGTATCCGTTGTAGCAAGAGGCGTGGCAACGGGTTTGGCTTGAGTCATATTGACACGTTGTAGAAGGTCGTTGATATATTTCCGTTGAGATAAGAATAATCCAGCAGGGACTTTTATGGCTTCTATGCCAAGAAAATAAGAGATTTGACCGAGATCTTTGAGAGAAAATCGTTGAGAAATCACTTGGATGAAAGCATTAACAGCGTCTAAGGAAGAGCCGGTGATAATGATATCATCCACATAAATCAAAAAATATAGATTATAGGTAGAGCCAAAAAACATGTAAAGACGTATCTGAGTGTGAGTTAGTGAAACCAGTGCTGAGCAAGAATGAACGCAACTCTTGATACCAAGCTCGTGGAGCTTGGCGAAGACCATATATCGCTTTCTTAAGCTTACAGACATGATGGGGAAATTCCGTGTTGACAAATCCCGGCGGTTGGTCCATGAATACCTCATCTGATAAAAATCCCTGTAAGAAAGCGTTATTTACATCGAGTTGGCGGAGAGGCCAACCATTGGTAACAGCAATTGTAAGCATTAACCGAACAGTAACATGCTTAATAACTGGACTATAAGTTTCAGAAAAATCAATTCCGGGACGTTGATTGAAACCCTTTGCAACAAGGCGTGCTTTGTGACGGGCTATTGAACCATCGGGATGCCTCTTAATCATATAAACCCACTTACAACCAATAATATTTTGTGTGGAAGTTCTAGGGACAAGATACCAAGTTTTATTTGAATGTAAGGCATTATATATTTGATATACCTAAATAGGCCGGCCCAATGGGCCCTCAAATTTATCAAGTGGGCCCATCACGCGAAAGCCCAAGCTCCTTCAAAATAAGGCTTGGGCCCAACAAAGTAAGCCCAACCCATTTAACGATATATAAATAGATGGTTTATTCATTGGAAAAGGTAGGTTCTCATTATTGATAATTCACCACGAGTTTATTCTCTCTACTCCCTTTACGATCCGTACATCTGACTTGAGCGTCGGAGGGGTTTCCGCCGGATCAACCCCCGGCTTAGTTCACGTGTGCTTATTTTGTAGGGACCTCAGGAGCATCGAATTGACTAGCTACTGATCAGCTTTGCTCTCCCAGCTCGTTTTCTACACTATCCTAGGTGAGCTAAATCTTAGCATCATCATTTTGGCGCCGTCTGTGGGAACGATGCAAACCAGATCACGTAGCCAACAAGATCCTCCTGAGGCGTCAGCTCGGAGAGAAAATGACACAGCAAATAACCTCCCAGCCCGTGGAGGATCTGGCATCCCACCTCCTCCACGCGCCGCGGAGCAACTTCCTCCACGTGCCACGGAGCCAGCTCCTCCACGTACGGCAGATCCACCTCGCGAGGTTCAGGTGATCCCCCCTCGGGACCCACCACTCGCCGATCCACCACTCCCTGCTCCTCGAACGGTTCAAATAACCGAGGACGCACTCCAGCGTATGATAGCGGACGCTTCTACTCGCGCCGCCACGGAGGCCGTAACTCAATATATCGCCACGATGGGAGCAAACGCTCCCAATGCGATACCGGCACAAGCTCCACCTATAGTACCACCTGTGGCTCCACCGCCAATCCAGAATCAAATAAGCGTCTCCTCCTCTACGTCGGACCCACGGTCCCGAGTGCAGTTATCTACTAATCACAGAGGAGCACAGCCCAGACAACAACGTCGGCGCTCACCCCTTCGGGGGAACGCATCACCACCGAGAGTCCCTCTCTTTAACGAGGGAGAAGGCGAGGTAAACAGTCGAATGTCTCGCCAAAACCCTTTCTCCCAACCAAATAATCAAATGGGTGAAAGAATGCCTCTCCCAACAAGACGCAGTCCCTTCACTGTAGACATTCTCAACGAGGTATTACCTCAAGGAGTAAAGATCTCGGGGTTACCTCAATTTGAAGGGACCACCGACCCACAGGAACATATAGAGAAATTTAGTGCCATGGCGGATTTATATGGCCCGACGGATGCTGCGATGTGCAAAATGTTCCGCACCACTCTCTCCAAGAGGGCAATGAATTGGTTCAACTCCCTACCCATAGGGTCCATTGACACCTTCTCTCGGTTGTCGACCCGATTCACCAACCAATTCGCCATCAACAAACAATATGCCAAGACCCCCGCTCATCTTTTCTCTGTAGTACAGAGAGATAACGAAACGCTCCGCAACTACATTAAGCGTTTCGTAGAGGCCGTCCATGAAGTCCCCAGTGTGGGGCAAGACATGCTTTCCGGGATTATGCAGCAGAACTTGAAACCTGGTAGATTCAAAGAATCTATCGCCGGAAGACCCCCAGGCAACTTAGAAGAGTTGCTGAATCGAGCCGAAAAATACGTCCGGATAGAAGAAGCCTCTACCCATGCTCCTCCTAAAAGAAAAAGGGAAGATGACCGTCAGGACAATAGGAGGCGCGATGATCGACGTCCGCCACTACCACCTCAAAGCCAACCCTCTTCCTCCTACAATAGGTTCACTCCGCTAAACGCTCGCCTCACGGAAATCCTTCACGTGATAGAGCTGAAAGGTTTAGCAGAACCTCCACGTCCTATGCAGCCAAACGCAAAGCGAGAAAAATCGGATCGTTATTGTCGATTCCATAAGGACAAAGGGCATACTACGGAAGAGTGTGCACAACTCAAAATAGCGATTGAGAGGCTAATCAAACAGGGCCATTTAGGCGAATACGTCGATAAGCCGCGAAATAAACGCCGTGATGATCCTCCACGTCGAGATAACAATCGAGATCAACAACAAAGACGAGAAGACGGGGGTCACCGACGTGACCTAGATAACAACGATAACCAGCCTACCCGGGGAATCATCTCCTTCATCTCCGGAGGACCGGCGGGGGGCGATTCACAAAATGCAAGACGCACACTCGCCAGATCAGCGCGCATGAATCAAGAACGCGCTTCTCCATCCGAACGCATATATCAAATACGAAGACCTGATCACAGCATAGTCTTCAACTCCTCCGACCTCGAGGGTCCAGATGAAGACCATGTCGATGCATTGGTAGTAACAACAACAGTGGCCAACTTCTTGGTCAAGAAGATATTAGTGGACGGTGGAAGCTCAGCTGACATCATGTACCTCCACGCTTTTAAGCAGCTAGGCATAGATAATGCCCGGTTTAAGTCCGTCTCCACACCCTTGAAAGGATTCACAGGAGAAGGCATTTTATCCATGGGAGAAGTGGAGCTACCAGTTTCTTTAGGGGAAGACCCCTGTCGAATCACTAAACTAATCAAGTTCCTTGTCGTCGACAAGCCATCGCCCTACAACATCATCCTAGGGAGGCCAGCGATCCATACCTTCAAATCAGTACCTTCCTCCTACCATCAGAAGTGGAAATTCCCCACTCCCTATGTTGGTCGAAAACCTACACGCAAGTGCACGTATCGTACAAGTAATATAGTGGACAATTAAGTCCGGATATCGAACCCACAGGGAATATTTAATTACTTAATCCTAGACGCTAAATTCTAGCAATTATTATCAAGCCCACCCTACACAGTCGAATTTAGAGATAATTAATTAAAATAAATTAAAAAGCAAATTAAAAAGACAAGAACACGAAAGCAATTTAAAAACGAAGATTAATCAAAGTAGACAAGCCTAGGATTTTATTCTTCCCCCTATGTGATTATTATTTCCCCAATTCCTTCAATTATACAAGCAATTAACCCGGATTATTAACCTGAGATGCTAAAATAATCATAACCCGCTTCCGCGTGTATTACAATTCTAATACTCTAGATTCAATTACTATATTCCTATGCAATTAATTCTAGAACACAGCATTAAGCACAAATCTCAATAATGGCTACCTAAGAGATTAACTATATTCCTATGTTAATACCACAAAGGCTCTTCTACCACAGTTCTAATTATTAACCCGATCTTCCGATTCATGCGATTAACAATAACATAAAAGCACATAAGTTGATCAAGTTCATGCACTTAATAAAACAAGTAGAAGAAATAATCCGGAATTAAAACTTGCATAAAATCATAGAAAAGGGTTCATAAATCCCACATAGGGTTCCAAATAAAATCCTAGAAATAAGTAGTTTAGCTACTCATAATTAAATCAAAAACGCAAGGAAAATAAATCATAGACGATAAATCTATGCTTGGAGTCTTCGTTATTGCTTTGTTGCTCTTGAAATTGCGTAAAAAGATGGATCCCTAATTGTGTGCTTGGCTTGGTCTTATATAGGGTGAAAAACTTGGGGAAGAAGGCAGTTTCCTTGTACAATTAAGATTCCCTCACTGCGCCAACTCGCCCATCCGGACGGCCGTGTGAGATTTATGCCTAAAATCCGCACGGCCGCGCGGTCTATTCTCCAGAATTCTGCTTTTTTCACTTTTGGCCCATATTTTCTCCAAAATTGCAGTTTTGACCCCATACTTTACCAATTCTTCAATTTGTACCTAAAATACAATAAATCAACTTTTTAAGCACCAATTATCGTTAAAACACACCAAAAGCTCAAATAAAAAGATACGATAAAGTGTAAAAATATACACTTAACACCCTACGGAATGGGGGAAGTACTTGGAGATAGACGTCTCGCTCGAGAGTGCTATGCGAGGGCCCTACGAGAACCCTCCAAGAAGCCTAAACCACCTGGAAGGGGAGACGATACCCAAAAATCCGACAAACGGAAATGGGTCAATGCGATCATTGAGGACAATAAGGAAATCCTCATCAGTGTACCAGACGATAGCATCAAGCTGGCAGCTGTCGAAGAGCTTAAGTCCATAGAGATCACCCCTGGAGATGGCTCCAAACTCCTACGCATCAGGTCCGATTTAGATCCTGAAATGGAGAAGCAATTAATCAAATTCTTGCGACACAATGGAGATGTGTTCGCCAGGAAAGCTCAAGATTTGTCGGGCATCCCCCCTCATGTAGCTCTACATCGGCTTAACGTCGTCAAAAGGTTAAAGCCGATCAAACAAAGAAAACGAACATTTGGACCCGAACGCAACAAGCACATCAAGGCAGAAGTGGCGAAACTTCTAGATGCGGGTCGACCAGTTCAGTACCCTGAATGGTTGTCAAACGTGGTACTCGTTCCTAAGCCAGGCGGTAAGTGGAGACTATGCGTAGACTTCACCGACCTCAACAAAGCTTGTCCTAAGGACCCTTTTCCTCTACCTAGAATCGATCAACTCATCGATTCGACCTCGGGATGCGAGCTCCTCAGCTTCCTCGACGCATACCAAGGGTACAACCAGATCTTACTTGCGCCAGAAGATCAAGAGAGGGCTAGTTTCATCACTGATCAAGGCATCTACTGCTATCAAGTCATGCCCTTCGGGTTAAAAAACGCAGGAGCCACCTACCAGCGTCTAGTGAACAAAATGTTCGCAGATCAGATTGGTAAAAGTATGGAAGTATACATCGACGACATGCTCGTCAAAAGCGTTAAGGTCTCGGACCACCTAACTGATCTGGATCAGTGTTTTGCCACCTTGCGAAAATATAAGATGAAGCTGAACCCCCTCAAATGTTCATTCGGAGTTCGGGGAGGCAAATTTTTGGGTTATATGATTTCGCAGCGGGGAATTGAAGCTAATCCCGCAAAAATCGAAGCAATCACCTCCATGGCTCCACCAACCTCGATCAAGAAAGTTCAACAGCTCAACGGCTGCTTGGCATCCATGAACAGATTCATTTCAAGATCAGCGGACAAGGCGCTCCCCTTTTTCAAGATTTTAAGGGAAGGAAAAAAGTTCGAATGGGATGAGACATGTCAAAAGGCGTTCGTTGAGCTGAAGTCATACTTAGCATCCCCACCCCTGCTCACAAAACCTCGGCCCGGAGACACCCTCCTACTATACTTAGCTACGTCAGCTAATGCCGTCAGCGCAGTCCTCATCCGAGATGGAGAAAAGGGTCACCAACCCATATACTACATAAGTCGCGCCCTCCAAGGAGCCGAACAACGTTACACCAACATGGAGAAACTCGCTCTCGCCCTCATCAACGCAGCTCGGAAGCTCCGACCTTACTTCCAGTCACATCAGGTGGTGGTTCTCACCAATTACCCTCTGAAGCAAATACTAAGAAGTCCTGAAACATCCGGACGATTAGCAAAATGGGCAATAGAGTTAAGTGAATATGGAGTGGAATTTAAACCCCGCCCAGCTATCAAGGCACAAGTGTTGGCAGATTTTCTAGTCGAAATGACTTCCATAGAAGGGAGCACTTCTCTACCTACCTGGTCTATCAACGTCGACGGATCTTCCACTACCACAGGAGGGGGAGCAGGTATCGTACTAACGAATCCTGATGGAGATGAGTTTGAATACGCTCAACGTTTCGAATTCACTGCCTCAAACAACGTCGCTGAATACGAAGCACTGATAGCGGGAATCCGCCTCGCCTTAGCAGCAGGAGCGCGCAAGCTCCTAATCCAAAGCGACTCTCAACTCGTCGTTAACCAAGTACTCGGAGTGTACGAGGCCAAGGAAGACACCATGGCCAAATATTTAGCTCTCGCCCATACTCTCTTGTCTAAATTCGAGAGCTATGAGATAAGACAAGTACCTCGCGCCAATAACGTCCATGCAGACAAATTAGCTAGGCTTGGAAGTTCCATGGCTAGCATCGGAAGTCGGAAGGTGACACTCCTCACCTCACCTCAACCAGAGATAACTTCACCCACCGAAGTACAGTACAACGAGGAGGATGAATCATGCTGGTTCACTCCAATCCTGAAGTACCTCAAGAAGGGAGAACTTCCAACGAATCCCACCGAAGCACGAAAATTAAAGACAAGAGCCGCTCGCTTCGTCATAGTGGGAGAAGAACTGTACAAACGAGGGTTCTCATTCCCCTATCTCAAATGCCTCGACCCGACCACAGCGGATTATGTACTTAGAGAAGTACACGAAGGCATCTGCGGCAATCACTTGAGCGGGAGAACCTTAGCTCTAAAGCTACTGAGGCAAGGCTATTATTGGCCAATGATGCATGAAGATGCGAAAAGACTAGTCCGGAGGTGTAAGCCCTGCCAAGAACATGCTAATATCAATCACATGCCAGCGGCGTTAATGCAACCAATTGACAGCCCCATCCCTTTCGCCCAATGGGGGATGGATCTGGTTGGACCATTCCCGCCCGCCACAGGAGGACGCAAATATCTAATTGTAGCAGTGGACTGTTTCACCAAATGGGTGGAAGCTGAACCCTTAGCACGCATCCGCGAAGAAGAAGTTATCCAATTTCTGTGGAAAAACATCGTGTGCCGCTTCGGAATCCCACGTTCCATCATCTCGGATAATGGGACCCAATTCTGCGGTGATAAAGTAAAAAATTGGTGCCTCGGTTTAGACATCAAGCAGTTCTTCACATCCATAGCAAATCCACAAGCTAATGGCCAGACGGAGGTCACGAATCGCACCATACTCCAACACCTTAAGACAAGGCTTGGAAGTGCCAAAGGGAAGTGGGTGGACGAATTGCCTAACGCGCTATGGGCATATCGTACAACCCCACGAGCAGCAACTGGGGAGTCGCCCTTCAATCTAGCTTTCGGAACAGAGGCAATCGCACCCGTCGAAATCGGAGAAACATCTTGGCGAGTCACCAACTACGACCCAACAGCTAATGAAGAGGCTATGCGGGGAAGCCTAGACCTCGTAGATGAGTTACGTGAGATCGCATACATCCGACAACAGATGTATAAATCACGCATGGCCAAGGCATATAACTCCAAGGTTCGCCCTCGCTCCTTTCAAGTCGGAGATCTAGTCCTCCGAAAAGCTGAAGCCTCCCACCCCATTGGTAAGCTTGACCCAAAGTGGGAAGGACCATACAAAATCACAAAAGTGGTCAACACTGGAGCATATCGCCTCGAGAACATTGACGGACACCCTATACCCAGAACATGGAATATAGGGAACCTCAAACGGTTCTACGCCTAAGGTATACATATACCTTACCTCAGATCAGTTGAGATCATCATCCATATTTCTTCTATACGAAAGTTACTTACGAATTGTCACCCATGCAGGCTCCACGACCTTCCACGTCACTCGTCTTGTAAAGCTACTTCTACATGGTTGGAAATTTGACACCACATAAAAAGGTGCGTTAACGTCCCACCTAAGCTGGGGGGCTAGTAATTGTTACTTACATCATAAATTTATAATCACATCCCATCATCTCCTTACAGGTCGAGAACCTACTACGTGAAGATGTATATGAATCAATCAATGCGCTGCTTGATCGAAAACACTCCATACCACATCACCAAGGGTAACTATACTTCTACTAGAATTCAACACACAGATAATCTTATTTACGATTACTAACGTGACAAATAATCCCACCAGCAGGCAGGATTGCATAGCAAATCGCAGTAACTCACGAATTCATTTCATATCCGGGAGCGCGAGAAAGAAATATCAATCCCCGTAGTAGGGTACGTGAAAGAACAATACACATCACCATAGCTTCAATTACTACATCATCAATACAAGTGATTAAATAGATTCTCTTTTTCTCAATTGTACTTGACAGGCACAGAGACACCAAAAGAAGTCAATCTACCATCCGCACAGTGAAATGACCAAGTACAAGGAAGACGTGGAAGAAGAACAAGTGTAGCACAATCACTCAGAATTTTTTATCAAGACAATTTATCGCTTTAGCAGTAGTTAGTTACCTCCGCCTCATGTAGGCCCATCGCATTAGCGATTTATTTAAATTCGCCTCACATAGGCTTGTAACAATTCTCCTTTGCTATCATCGAATATATCACAATTTTCGTTTTACTACCTGTCCCTTTACATCGATATAAACTACTTCTCATCGTGAGTCTAATTCAATACCACCCTATAAACACTTAGAGAGATTTAGATAATCCATATAGCCTGGCCAGCTGGATTATCTAAGTCCCCTCACTTGTTTAACGAGGTGTTCATTTTAAAACGTGGCCACGGACAAATATATTTAAGACCCAAGCGGTCCGAACAAAGGGCACGACCCTTAACAAAAACCTTGGGAGACTGATCCCCTCCTCAAGTACATCGCGTACAATGCTAAGTGTAAATACATATAAGCAACGCAATAATTCTTGACAATGTCAAAATAAATAAATCGAAATATTAAATTTCAAAGTGAAACAAGGCAGAAGTCAAATGAAAGAGTAGTGGACATACCCATCTACATCAGCGATAAAAACAAACTAAGAAATCCAAAAAAAAAAAAAAAAAAAAAAAAAAAAAAAAACATAATAGGGATAAAAATAAAAGGGAAAAGTTAGCTATCCTAACAGATAAGTCTAAGCTCCCCTACCACGAGCGGAAGACGTACCCGCAGTAGAGTCACCCGCAACCATGTCATTCACGAGCTCTGTGCCCGTCCCATTGACATCTACCTCATCCTCCTCTTCATCAGATATGCCAGCTTCCATCCCACGAATCACTTGCTCGCTGATCCCACCCGCATCGCGCAGATATTTGCGACAAGCACGCACTAATGGCTTATAAACCACAGCCAAGGCATGCTCCTCAATCATAGCAGCACACTCATCACTACCTCGGAAACTAGCTTTAGTTTCCTCCACAATGGACTCCTTATAAGCAGCACCACCAGATGACGTGAGGAACCTCTTCCCCGTCGCCTTCTCAGCTTCATATTTCTCTTTGAGCTGATCGTAGCATTCGTTCAACTTATGAACATCGTCCTTATACGCCTTCGCATCACCCCGGATAAACTCGAGCTCCTCTGTCCTCCCAGCAAGCTCCTCTGTCCTCCAAGCAAGCTCTTCAGAGCGTAGAGCGAGATCGGACCGCGCTTCCTCCAACTGACTTAGAAGCTCATCCTCACGTGCTTGACTTCGAGCACGATCCTCTTCCTTACTAGCTTCCACATTCCTACCGTGCTCCATGAGATATCTCCAAGTCGCTACCAACTAAAAAAAAAAAAAAATTAATTAAAAAAAAAAAAAATAAATAAAAATAAATAAATAAAATAATTTTACACAAGGAAGAGAGGGAGTAACATCTAATCTTGTTTTAAGTAAACAAGGACTCACCCGACATATATCTCCACCAGCTAACTCTAGCATATGAGAAGGACCCTTACCAGACATCCGAGCACGATCATACTCTCGAACGAAACCCTCGGTACTCAACATCGGCAAATCATAGTCCGACACATCCCAGTACGACTCCTTACCATCGCGGTTCACACCATAGGTAAACAATTGTTTCCCTCCCCCACCATGGAAAGCATAAGCCTCCTCTGTGTCTACCCGTGGACGCTTAGGCACAGCCACATACTCAGTATCCACCCTCTTTCCCTTGCCATGATCCCTCTTCGGTGGACGCTCTTCCACTACGCCAGCACTGCTACGATCATCTGCGACTACTCGAGGGCTTTCTACATGAACCTCCTCGCGAATCAAACCATTCGAAGAACCGCCCAACTTAGAGGGAACCTTCTTCGACGTCCCATTCGCCTTCCCTCGAAGTGCCGCAAAGGTGATACCACCATCTACAAAAGATAACAAACACATAAGAGACATGAGGTATACATTACCAAAGAACTACCAAAAAAAAAAAAAAAAAAAAAAAAAAACAAACAAACACAAGTCAAAACAACAAAAGGATATACGATGCTGACCCTCCACCGTCGGTATCAAACTCCTCGGATCAAATTCCACATCACACAACCCAGATTCCTCAATCCTTTTCGCCATATTTGCAGTTATCACGAAACTCTCACACGTAGGATTCCAAACTACGGGAACGTCAAAAGTGGGAGCCCTCACGTAAAAAAAATAGGTCTTCCATTTTCCCAAAGATAGCTTCACACTCTTCACGAATCGGTAATGAACGCGAGGATGAAAGCAAAAGAAAGGCCCCTTGGTGGGCCGATGTAACGTAAATAACGCCTTGAATAAAGTCACATTCGCAGGCAAACCCACTAGAGACACTCTGTGATGAAACGCCTCGAACATAAGAAGTGCAGTCGGAGTTAACTGACTGTACCCTATCTTGAATTCCTCGCAAACCTTCAACAACGTCGGATGCGGGGTAATATGAGAAGTACATGTCAAGTACCCCAAAAATACCGTATGAAACCCATCGGGTGGCGAATACAAGCGATCTCCCTTTCGAGGCAGCAGCAACTCCACATTACTCGGCGCTCCGGATAAACGACGAATAGCACGTAAATGCTCTTCCGTCAATACACTATCAAAATTAACCAAGTCCAAATTAATTGGCTTATTTTTCTTTTGCCTCCTCTTATCGACCTCAACATCACCCGGCGGAATATCATCTTCCTCTTCCTCTTCATCCGTCGACTCAACTTCACTACTAAGCACAGTACGATCACTCGCCATAGGGGCTTGATTAGAATCGTCACTATCGCTCCCAAAATCCACGAGTTGGCGTCGAGAATAACGCCTACTAGCCACAACTCCATCTACTTGCTCACTAACATGAACACTCGCTTCTACATCGTCACTCCAAGATTCAATGATTTCTCGCCTTACGGAACCTCTAACGTTCACATCATCAACTACGTCTAAAACCCCATCCGCTCGACCATCACTACCGCGCGACGAACGCTGAAAAACAGCACCGGACGCGCCGCCACGCGCCGAAAAAAGGACGCCCGACGCGCCCCCACGCGCGGACTGGAGCACTTCAGACGCGCTCACACGCGGCCCAACCCTGCCACCCACGGACGCGCGCGCGTCGCCAATAGGAAGCGCGCTTGACGCGCGCGCTCGTCCACCAGATCCCCCCCCGCCTCCATCAGCGCTTGCACCACACCGCCCAATCGCGCGCGCGCGTCCCACCACGCCCGACGCGCGCGCGCGTTCTTCACCCTCTCTCACAGACGCGCGCGCGCGTACCTCGGCCACCGTGCCCCACGCGCGCGCGTCTCCATCACCCATTGGGCCACGTACGCCGCTGCAACTCTCTCTCCTCTCCTCGATTCCGACGCAAGCCAACGGCTCCATGGCTTCAACCGGCTCCAAGCCGCCTACGTGGAACTCACCACCACTGGAAATTTGGCGGCTCGCTGTGTGGCTCGAGCCTACGCCCGCAGCCGAGCTTTCTAAACTGTTTTTTTTTTTCTTCTTCTCAATTCGTACTACCTTCTCGCGTTCCATACCAACGGTACCAAAAGAATTCTCCCTACCTTCAACCGGATCTCGAAGTTTAATACGCAAAGATTTCGACTTACCCGGGTTCGACATGAAAAATGATTTTCCCCGACGAAGCAATCAAGAAACAAAAAATTTCTACTCTACCGCAAAAAAGTTTTCAAGAAAAACAGAGCACAGAAAAATATCTAGAGTTAAAAATACATACCCATATTTATTACGAAGGAGATGAAGTTTAATTTTTTCCACCGCAAAAGGAGACTATTTATCTGGCCCTGGTATAATATTTAAAACCCTTAAATATATACCGCGCTGCCAAATAAATACAATTATTCCTTACTTAAAATTAAGGAATTAATTCACCGGCAACGAAAACAATTCAATCAACGCCGCAATTAACTCTCGACACGACCCGGATCCCTCTACACACTTCCCCGTCTCATATCGAGAGTTGGGGGGCTTAATGATATACCTAAATAGGCCGGCCCAATGGGCCCTCAAATTTATCTACCAAGTGGGCCCATCACGCGAAAGCCCAAGCTCCTTCAAAATAAGGCTTGGGCCCAACAAAGTAAGCCCAACCCATTTAACGATATATAAATAGATGGTTTATTCATTGGAAAAGGTAGGTTCTCATTATTGATAATTCACCACGAGTTTATTCTCTCTACTCCCTTTACGATCCGTACATCTGACTTGAGCGTCGGAGGGGTTTCCGCCGGATCAACCCCCGGCTTAGTTCACGTGTGCTTATTTTGTAGGGACCTCAGGAGCATCGAATTGACTAGCTACTGATCAGCTTTGCTCTCCCAGCTCGTTTTCTACACTATCCTAGGTGAGCTAAATCTTAGCATCATCAATATTCATCACACATGGCTTGACGCCATTTAGGTTTTTGTTGGGCTTGTTTGGAAGTTGAGGGTTCACGGTCCGTGTTTATGGTAGTATGGAGATTAAGAATTTCTCTAGGTTTAGTAATGTTGTGTTTGATTCTGGTATTGTAATGGTGAGAAATAGAGGTTGAAGGTTTCGTTACCTGTGAAGAAGTAGTAGCACCCTGGGATTGAAGCTGAGTTGCGAGCAT